TATTATTCTCAGGGTGACAGCCACTCATCTTGCTCTCCCTATCCCTGCTAGGTGGCAACAACCTTACTGCTTCCTTCCTTTGTTCTTCTCATACCTCCCCTTGCAGCTCTCAGTCCCCTTTTCCCTCGAAGTGCCTGACTGATTTAACATAATGGTTCAAAATTAATCAGTTGTACCCACATCTACTCTGTACGAAGATTTCTGTGTCTGAAACGCAGCAGGCAGAACCCACACTGTTGGTCTAATATATGATGGTGCTTTTCCTTGCAGCCTTGCCTTGTTTGTGTCCTGTCCTGATTTTTGCTGGAATAGACTTAGTTTTCTTCTTAGTAGCTGATACAGTGCTGTGATTTGGATTTAATACGAAAATAATGTTGGTCACAAACTGGTATTTTGGTTGTTGTGAAGCTGTGCTTACCCCAAGTCAAGGACTTTTAAGTGTCTCATGCTCTGTCTCTGAGGAGCTGCACCAGAAGCTTGGAGGGAGCATAGGCAGGAGAGCTGACCCGAACTGGCCAAAGGAATATTCCATACTGTAGGATGTCATGTTCAGTACAAAAACTAGGGTGGGTGTTGGCTGGAAGGGGCTGATCAGGGATGGGATGAGCACTGGTGAGCAGGTGGTGAGCAATTGTTTTGGGCATCACTTGTTGTACTGGGGGTTTCTTTCTCTCTCTTTCTCCTCTTCCTTTTAATTACAATTATTATTTTTATTGATACTATTATCATTAGCTTTATTATATTTACTGTGTTTCACTTATTAAACTGTTCTTATCTCTTATCAGGAGTTTAACTTTTTTCCTAATTCTCCTCCCCATCCCACCGGGGGAGGGAGTGAATGAGCAGCTGTGTGGTATTTACTTGCCAGCTGGGGTTAAACCATGACAGTCCTTTGCCCAACACCGCTGCAACAAAATTGGTTCTGCTTTGTCTTTTTCTAGTTAAACTGGAAACTCCAGAGCAGAGTGTCTCAAGATGTATGTGGGAGCAGAATCTGCCTTAATGCTTTCAGCAGTGCCTCTTTTATCCGTCTGTTTCATACAGAAACTGGAAGGTCTGACTTTGGGTAAATTTGAATGCAAATATTCATTGACTTTGCTTATATGTCAGAATCAGTATGCTGGCAAACTGAATGTTACAAATTGTATGAGGCAGCCTTCTTCTAGCAGACCTGCAGCCCTGTTTGACTGAGGACCCTAATCTCCACAATCTCTGGATTTTGTAATCTGACCACGCTTGTAAATACACAAAATGTTACAGTTAGAGAAGCTCTTTTAAATAACTTGTCTCATAGTATGTAAAATAGTTTTAATAATGAGGTTGAACCCTTTGTCACTCAGTAATACAGAAGCCTTTCTTTCTTTCTGGAGTAAAATATGATAAATAAAAACAAAGAAATTCTGGTGAATAGATTGACCTTCAAAACTGGCAGGCTTCGTAAACTGCACCTGAAAGGCTGAAGAGATAACTTGTGCGTCATTGCTTAGGAATAGCAGGGCTTGGTTGCTAATGCTCTTCTAAACACTGAAATACACTCTCTTGTAATGCACAGGCTGTAGTTTCGATTTATTTATTTATTTATTTTTGGGTTGATGCTTTTAAATACTGTCTTCTCTGCACCATGGAACAAGGAGAGTGTGAAATTTTGTCATAGAAGTAAATATAGTAGTTTTTTGTTCTTCTTGGGTGTCATTTTTATACTTTCAGATACACATAATAAAAACTGGGGTCAGCAATTTTGAAGAGTTTGTCACAAAATCCTGAAGAAACAGGGTTTCCTTCAAATATACAAGAAAAGATGAGAATACTGAAGACTTATTCTCATTAGATCTGTATCTTGCACATGAGTTGGCATAGTGTTTGGCAGGATTAAAACTATTAAAGGGTTGCCAGCAAAGGTGGTCTTATGATGTGTTTATGCCAGGAAAATGGAAGGGAAGGCGAGTCTAAAGACAATTTTTGATGTATTATTTTGTTTTAATCAGTTTAGGCCTATTGTTTGACTGAGCTGAAAAACAGAAATAAAGAAAAACATAGTGTGTTTTCCACCTGTCTAGGTAGTTTACATATAGTTAATGGCAGAGGACTCATTTAGTAGGTGTGTTTATGGTAAGGGTAATTTTCCTTGGTTTACTGGGATTTTGTTTTTGGAACCATTGCTTATAAACACATGTATTTCTCTAGCTCATTAAGTCCTTATGAATTAGAAAATCAAACCTAATATTTGATGGTGTCAATGTAAAAATGTACTCTTTGGACTGCATTTATAAGCTTAAGTGCAACATGTTTCTATCATAATTCTGAACGCTGGGTGGTAAGAAGTCAGCATGTATGTTTGCAGTGCAGTGTATATTGCACAGCATAAAAGCTACATTTGAAACCATATTTCAGTTCCATGGCCATAGAGGGGTGTGTTAAATTTGTACTGTAATTGTTGATAAACTTGTTCTTCAGCTATTTAACATGATGGTGCTTATACCTTTTAAGAGGACAATAGTTGCTGAACTGAAAAGAGCAGCCTCTCAGTTAAAACAAACATTGGCACTGCTTGTGTACTTTCAGCTCGGAATAAATAGCTTGCAAATCTATAGCTAGTTATACATATTTGTATACAAATATTTGTCATTTAAGTATTTTTATGATGTACAAGAAAGGCCCATTAACAATTTATTTTTCAAGGGCTGACAGACTTTTCTCTAGTCTTCAGAAATTCCAATGCTCAAGAAATATCTTTAAGCAGTACCTCATATAAAGATAGACATTTAAGTCTTGACCCTGTTGTTCAGGGATTTCTATGAAATCAGAGAGACTGTTAGCATTATATGGCTATTTTTACTTGTTTATTCCTTTGATGTATTTGTGAAGGACACACATTTATATATGCATGCAATAAAAATCAGCTAACTGATACCATAAGACTGGGCTCTTCATTGAAATTCAGTTTCTTCTCTGGCTCAAATGGCACTAACAAGCAGGCCAGAGAAGTTCAAAGAGGGGCCTTTGATCTTCCAAGTTGCGTGAGGTGCTTGGAGGAGTTACAGGGCACTTGCTCTCCCTACAGAGGTTGCCCCTTCTCCAGACCTATGGGGGTTCCTGTATGTGTGGAAGACTGATGAGCTTCTCAGAAAGGGCAGAGGTAGAGCAAGGGCTGTCCTAGTTATAGTACACCCTCAACACCTCTGGAAGGTTCTTTTTCTGTGGATGCCAGGTCTGTCAAGCTTCTGCCTGCTCTATGTTAGTGGGTGGCAGCACAAGATGAGAATGATTATTTGGAGTGTTTTTTTGCATTACTGTGATACCTCTAAATGTGGATGATGCCTGTTAGTTTTTTTTTTTATTTGAAGAAATAAATTCATCAGAAACACTGAGCTAGGGGATGTGCATTGTGTTATATATTCAACCATAATTTTCCTGCTGTTTATCTAACTTCTACATAGGCAATATAAAAGACATACGGACAATTGGACATGAGAAATTCAAGACACGTTTTCCTGCTGGATTTTTAGGCCTGCCATATTCCCTGGCCCTAAACTTAGTATCTTTGCATGACGTACTTTATGGACTTGATAGGACATACAAAGCACTGGCTTAAAACTGCTTTGGTCCTTAGGGCTTCCAGTAATGAAAAATTTCAAAGCAACTTCGAAAAGGTCTGTCTGACAGAGCACATCCGTGTAAATGTGGGGATAAACCCTGGCTGGCAATATTGGAGGAATCTGCCATGAGTCCTAATAGAGAAGATGGGTTGAGATGACATTCCTCTTCACCTCAAATTTGCATAGTAAAACTTTTCTTGAACCTTCTACACCACTAGGGAGCTGGAGGACAGTATTCTGCATGCATAGCATGGAAACAGAGACACTTTGATTTTATTCCCTGGAGTCGGTTCCTTGACAAAATAATGAAGTAAATGAATACATTAATGTTCACACCCACTTACATCAGCAATGTCCAGTGTTAAACATTTATTGTTGGTAATAACCACCCATCTGTTTAAGATTTTCTTAGTCTCCTAGGCAGGCTGTGTTGCAAAAAAAAGATTAAATCACTTAGAATATATTTTCTTTTTTTGTTGTTTTGCCTCCTTTAACAAGAGGTTTTAAGTCCCTGCAGTTCAGATTGCTTAGAACTCAGCATTCTTGTAGGGTTAAAAAAAGTGTATGTGCAAAGGTGAATTGTTTGATTAAATTAAATGTGACTTTGTACATATAATAATGTAATCAATTTATGAATGTTTATATATAAACTCTTCATCTATTATAAAACTGAATTTTCAGGAAAGTATTCTACAGAATTCTTTTTAAGATTATTATTTATTATAAAGGAGCAACTGTTTTAAGCAGGAGTCATATTTATTTCATATAAAGGTGATAGTAGGAGTTAAAGGTAAAGAGAAAGCAGAAAAACTATAACTGCTTGTAAACATCACTCAAACTATGTCAGCTGAAATGCTCACTATGAACCAATATCCCCAGCTCTATCTCCATTGGCCTTTTCCCAGGCAGAACCCGTCTTTAGGCTTGTTTGCACTAAAGGTCTTTGTTGCAAGGTCTTTCCTAATTGTAGCTGAGGACCATGCGTGACCTGAGGATATTTCTGGTCTTCCATGGTTATATCCAAGTTGGGACACAAATGGACATCCCTCTTGTGAGTTTGAAGGCTTCAAAGTGTGTATCTATTGCCCTTCAACTGTTGTCACTTGGTCACTCTTTAAACTGTAGTTCAAGTAAGACAAGGTGCATTATGTTTCTGTGATGCAGGAACATGTATGCAATGCAAAATAATCTTTAAGGACCTTTCACTGTGTATGATTCCTGCGTGATGTATTTGAATAACTGGGTCTTGTGTAACGTGCTGGTGATTATTAAATATCTGCCAGTCAGAGCAACTGCTGTCTTGTATTTATTATTTTAATATTGTATATGGATGTCACAGATAAATATTTCTGAACCTTGTGTGCAGACTAAACATAATTTCTACTCTTCATTCTGTATTTCTAGTCCGGGACTGTGAAGCTGACCAAGCCTGTGGCATTATGGACCCAGCAGGATGTCTGCAAATGGCTGAAGAAACATTGCCCTAATCAGTATCAAATCTACAGTGAGTCATTCAAACAGCATGACATAACTGGTAAAGTATGCACTATCAGAAATATTTTACTTACTTAAAATGTGGCAAATTGTTTTACTTTGCTTTTAATAGACTGTGACTGTGCACTGAGGGCTTTTTGTTGATTGGATGACTAGAGAGTTGCAAGGTTTGGAGTAGGGGGAATATTCCAGCTTTCTTAGGATGTGGTGATTTCCCCATCTCTCTAAAACATAAGTTTCACATTACTCAGGGTCAATATAAGAAGGAAAGAAGTCAGTTTGTATGCAGGTAAAGGCCCCACCCTGTTCATTCCAAATAAATAAAAAACCTCCAAACCCAAACATTAAGAAACATCCTATGGGGAAAAATGTAATTTATGTAAATTTTCTTTTTCATTGAGGTGTTTCACCTTGATTTCATACTCTTTTTTGTGTCCCCTCCTCCCTTTAAAAAGAAATAAAAATTAACCTTAGAGTCCTTAACACGTAGGATGGGAAGCAAGCCCAACTGCGCCCCTCCCTAGGCCTGAAGTAGGATCAATACAGCAAGTTCATTTCTGGCAGATGTTTGTCTAACTTTGTTCTGGAAAACTTGCAATGGAGGCGATTTTTGCATCTCTCTATTCCAATATTTTATGACCTTTAAAATTGGTATTTCCTAGTATCAATCTAAACTATTATTTCCAGCAAACAAAACTGATTCCTGTCCCAAATGTGGCTCGAGTACAACCAACCATTCTTTCTCACAGCCTTTCCTTCTCTGGATAGAGTGTTTCCCAGTTGCACAAACTTTCCTTGTCTAGTCTAAAAAATATTTGTTTGTTCTATCATGGTTTGCCCCCAAATACATGCAGGACCTCCAAACCTTCAAAACTTGGTGTCTTTTGTTAAAAGAATATATTAAAAGCATAGTTGTACTTTATTTTCCTATTTTCTTTAGAAGTTAATATTGATTTTGTTGATCTGCTTGACTTGTCAACTCCTACTCAGTGTGCTGTAGTTGTCTTTTAGCTGACCACTTTGAACAGACATCAGTTTAGCAAATATAACTTGGGAGTTAAATAGGACTTTTACTCATATACCAGACAGTAATTAATCTGTAAAAAACTTAATGTGGTACACTAATTTGTTCTCTGAAGTGGTAGTATACCGAACTTGGAATTGGAATTCAGACATTTAATGTTAAGCAGAGAATTGAGTTTTACATAAAATTTCAGTCTTAACACTAATGCATTGTTAACATTGTGTGTTTCAGTCAGTATCTGTTCGTATATGTGTACTTGTGGTGTTTCAAATTTTACCTTGATTCCTGTTGCTATTTTCTTTCTGATAACATATGAATGATTGCAAACATGGCAAACTAAACTGCCAATATTTGTTTACTATGTAGCCATGAGTACCTATACACACTTACATGTGAGAGCTGGTTTGTACTGGTTTGGTAAGTGTTGAGATTTACTACATAACCATTGTGCCTATTTCCTCTCAGTCACCATCTGCTGAATGCAGTCTGTAGGAATGTAGTCTGTGTCTCCACCCATGTGTACAGAGCTGACTGCATCCAGAGCACTACCAGAAGAAATTTAAGCTATTTTAAAATATTTTCTAATAGTTTTACTATCATGTTATCTGTTTCTAGAATTAAGGGAGAAGTTGTTTTCATTTCAACTTAAACATAGATGGAAACCTTGTAGTTTCCTTGCAGATGTGCAAAACTTTGAACTTTATAGACTTCTGTGAAAAAGAATTGAGATCAATCTTTCTTACTTTAGACAAAAGAGGAAAAAGGAAAATATCTGTATGAGTCTTAGAAAGTAAATCTGCAGGAAAAAAATAACTTCAGTTCAGCAACTACCAAATAAGAAACATGATTGATATTTGTATAGATTTTATAAAAGTATATTGTGATAGTATTATGACTGAAATCATTAACTCAGGACGATCTTTCCAGTGCTGTTGGTCCCCATGACTCTGATTATTTGAACTCTAATAAAGGTACAGAACAGTGGATTTGTAGCTCAGAAAGGAGCATGGAAACTAATATGAAGATGAAGCCAAGATAGTGTAACTGTTCCCAGATATGGCTACAGAAAAATAATGTGACTTTTGAAAATTTCTCAGGAATTAATATGACTTTACAAGCTATTTTGATACAGAAAAATAGGATGGAAAATAGGATGGAAAAGAACTTGAAGAAAGTTCTTATGAAAAGGAGATTTAAACTTTATTTGAAGATAAAATCTAACACATGGTCATAAGCCAGGAAAATAATCTTGGGCAAACATATCTAACAATTGTTAACCATAAGTGTTGAAAAATGTGGCATTTACTTGAGACTATTAGTTGCTGATTACAGTTTATTGAGATGGGGACAAAAATGCAACCCAAAATGACCTTTTCTTTGCAGAAATTTTGTACCTTTTATTTCTGACAAAGAACAGCTTCAGATATGTAAGAAAAAAAATGCTTCATCTTGAAACTTACCTAGTAAGAAAAAAAATCTTCATATTAACAGTGATCTTGAGGATGTCATGGGACAGAGCATACTCTCATCAGATTTGCAGATGACAGCAAGTTGGAGGTAACAGTCTATAGACTCAAGAGTAGGGACCATCCATAGACGTTTAGGCATAGGGACCAGACACAGGCTGGAAGAACCTTATGAAATTCAACAAAGACAATTGCAAAGTTCTGCAGCTGGGAAGGCTGAGCCTCTTGCACCCCACTCAGCCTGGGGCTGAGAGTGGGGAAGCGGCTTTGGTGAAAAGGACCCGTGGTCTTGATAGTGAGGAAGATGAAATGAACCAGTGTTGTGCCTTGGCAGCAAAGAATGCTGACAGAATCATAGGCACTATTAACAGGAACATAGTAACCTGATCCAGCACAGTCATTATTCCCTTTTACTCTGCACTTTTTAGACTACAGTCCTTGGATCTCCAGTGCAAGTTAAGGTGAGGGCCAACAAGATGCTCAGGGCTGGAGCACTTGCCCTGTGACCATTGAGGCAACTATCAGTAAGACAAGAGGGCATGGTCTTAAGCTGTGCCAGGGGAGGTTTAGGTTAGATATTAGGAAGAAGTTTTTTACAGAAAGAGAAATCAGACATTGGAATGGGCTGCCCAGGGAAGTGATGGATTCTCCGTCCCTGGAGGTTTTTAAGATGAGACTGGATGTGGCACTTAGTGCCATGGTCTAGTAACCACGGCAGTGTTGGATCAAGGGTTGGACTTGATGATCTCAGAGGTCTTTTCCAACCCGGCTGATTCTATGATTCTATGAGGGAGCTGGGCTTGTTCAGTCTGGGGAAGAGGCAGCTTGCCAGGGTGGGGTGGGGGGACTGGCAGCAGCCCCCAGTGTGTAGGACAAGGTTGTCAAAAACATGAAACCTGACCCTTCACAGTGATGTGTGAGAGACACCAGACTTGAGCTGAAACAAGAGGCTGAGCTTGAACATCAGAGAAACTTTTTCCCCATGAGAACAGTCGAGCATTGGAACAGGTTGCTCAGTTTCTGTCCTGGGAAGGTTTCAAGCCCTAGCTAGATAAAACCTTGAGAAACCTGATCTGATCTCATAGCTGACCTTGTTTTAGGAAGGCGGTTGGGCCAGAAATCTGCTGGGATCCTTTCCCATCTATATTCTTCTGTGGTCCCTTCCCATCTAAATTCTTCCATGGTCCTATGATTTGCTAAGTACTTACTGAGTACCTCAGAACCAGTGAAATGCATTTTGCAGCCAGTTAGGCATAATTAAATATGGAAAGATCTAATAAGAAATGGGCAGATTTCTTATGTATCCAAGCATATACCATGCTTGGATTCAGGGAGTAGAACATTTGGTTGACTTATTCAGCAACAGGTCAGAAGTACTCTTCATGGTGTTGGACCCAGAGAAAGAACCAAAATAATTTGAGGGAGTAATACTGAGTGAGATCTAAGGGCATTTGATAGGAATTAGCAGTGATGGGAAAAATAAGACTGTGAAAAGGGAGGAACGAAGATGACAGTGGCCTGTACAACCAAGAAGGCAATGTCATGGTAGGGCCATGTCACTGGAAGCTCTACAGCTGGTGTTGGAGTTTACACCAGTAGGAGGAGAAATAAAAAGTTGCACTGATTTGCCAAGTTTCACACTGATTTTATACTGATGAGTTCCAGGGGATAAACCTGAAAAAAGGAGCTCACTTTGTTTGCATTCGTGGCTTTGAATTTGCTGGGCAGCAATACTTTTAAATGACTGGGGAGTTCTAGAGAGATGGGTTGTTCTTTAATGGTCTTATTCTGCACCATTGGAACAAATGAAGATTTTTGCAATGTCTCACAATTAACAGAAACAAGACTGGGCATAGAACGACCAAAGAATAACCATTTTGAGGCAAATGGTCCATTGACAAAGTAATAAAGATGATGTCCAAGGAATGGCTTATGGATGTCTATTGGAAGGGAGGAAAGGGAAGGGAAGAAAGGAAAGAAAGGGGGGGAAGGAGAAAAGGAGGGAGGAAGGAAGGAAACCCTGCTTCACCTTTTATTTCTACACCATGTTCCCCGATGTACTGCATGTCTTCAGAGCATGAGGTTTTAATGCTATGATCATTAAACAAACCTCATTCTGTCAGAGTAATACCCAAGAGGTACCTTGGTCCAATTGAAAGAATTTGATAGGAGGTACTTGAAAAGACTCAAACCTTTTTAAATTAAACTTTTAAGGAGGAAAGGAACAGGACTCAAGAAAACCTCATTTTAGTTTTAGAAGGGCCCAGAACTTCTGAATAACCATTAAATACCAAACAGCAGCTCAGAAAGTGAAATATGAACTCCTACAGAAAACCTGCTGCAAATAGTCTTAAAATCTGGCTATAATTCTATGACCTCTAAAGATGCTTGCATTAAATCAGCTTTATTGACATATTTTTATGAAATTTATATAAAATCATGCTTTTAAAATCTCAATTGATTAATTTTTTCACTTAAGTAATATCTTTGTAGATGTTAGAGTTTATCATATCAGATAAAATGCTCAAGTTATTTAGCATGTTGGTGAAG